CTTTCTCCCTCCCCGAGAAAGTAATGGACTTGTTTTCTTTTCTCCTGCTCTCCCTCCCCACTTCCTTCTCTTCTCCTTTTTTAGTTCATCCCTTTAAAAAAAGTAACGTGGAAGAAAAAAAGGTTTCTTTTGTAATTGTGATATCTTGAATATTGTGTTCCTTTTTAAGAGGCAACTTGATTGTAAACTGCATTTCARCTATAGACTGGGGAAGAAATACCGTGCCAAAGTCTCCATTCTGTTACTCACAGACACACACACACGAACAACAACGCTTGTGAATGTATTTTTCTGTTAGCTGGGTTTACATGTGATGTTTTAGTGCTTTTGCAAGTTCAATTTGTTAGTTCCTGTTCGGAAGATTGTGAGGAAAAAATAAACGTCGTGCCGTTAGCTTTTCCATAATAATGCCCTTCCTCCTGTAAATACCTGTTACCATATTTATCCATTTGTAATTAAATTATGGTATTAACTTGCTACAGAGGAAACAGTATTTATAAAGAATGTTTCTTAACTATAAATATGTACAATTGTGAGCATAAACTGTTTCAGATTTTTTATTTGAAGGTTTAAGTGGTTTCATCATTTCTTGTGATATGTTTTGAGAGTAATGCATACAGAAATATAATAAAACGTGTTGAAACTGCACGAGCTGTTTCCTTTTTATGCCAAAGGCTCTCTAAAACCTGCTATAAGGTATGTGATGGGCTGAGCGGGCGACTGCAAAACAAATGCCTTTAAAACATTCACTTATTACTGGAAGAGGAGGATTCCTTTCAGCTGGGCTCTCCCTTCCAGAAAAAAAAAAATTAAAAAAAAAAAAAAAGCCACAAAAGCCCCCAACACTTTGGGAAGCCTCTGGGCTGAAAGAAAAGGGTGACGGTATGCATATTCTCCAAATGACTTGCAAGGCAAGAACTCCTCTAGTAAGGTATTTACACGGTGASAGCACAGCTTCCTCCTCCTTCTGCCTTCCTCGGGTTCACCCTTCTCTCCCCGGTGCCTGTCTGACTGGGGAGCTCATTGCCCCACAGAGTGAGAAAATGGGACATTTCGGGACGGAAGTGGAGGTGCAAGGAGCATGCTCTGAGCTCGGTTGCCTTGAGCCGTAGATCATCCTTGCCTCCCATCTTTCGGGAAAGAGTTGGTAGCTTCTATCCAGCCCTACAGAGGAGAAAGTTGTGATGACTGAGAGTTCATATTTCCCCTTTGCGTTCTTTCTTTTTCTCTCTCTCTGTCTTTTTGTTCCTTGGTTTTTTTGTTTTTGTTTTTTGGTTTTTTTTTAGTCCAGAGAGCGGTTTGCATTGTCAGATGTGTTCAGAGAGGGACGATGAGCCACTGGGCAATGACTTTTCCGGAATATTGGCCCGGTATTTGACTCCACGTGTGCCGTCGGGGCCCGACTGGCRGATTCATCCGTGTAGACCCGCTAGACAGAGACTCTCCGGGCACAGCCCGCCGCACCGGGACAGCCAAGGAGTGTGACAGCGGCCGGGAAATCGTAGAAAAAGTTCGGCCTTGCCAAGCCACCGAAATACGCCCTGCGAAGAGGCAGCGCCGTGAGCCGGGCTCCGAGCGCCCTGCGGTGGCTGCGCTGCCTTCAGCGGCAGCTTGTGCAGGCCGGGAGAGCCGTCTGCTCCTCACACCCGGCCGAGCCCATCGCTTACGCCCCCCGGGCCAGACGTCGCTTCGGGTTTTTCGGTCTTTGTCCCGTATGTCCAAATATCAATAGAGTTGATACCAGCCGGTGTGAGGGATTTAGGTGGGGACACGAGGGTACACGGGGCCCTGCTCACTTTTGGGGTGAGGCGGGGGTTACCTACACCCAGGGGAAGGGGAGGACAGAGGGAAAGACACCCCCCCCGCCCCCTGTCCCCCGTCCCACCGCTGACAAGGAAGTTTAGATGGGGAGCGGATCCGGAGCTTCCTCAGCGGCTGTGCTCCTCCCAGCGCGGCCGTCCCCGAGCACACGGCAGCTCCCCGGGTAATCAAACGGCTATTAAAACCTAATTTATGTTCGGTAATAATATTACGTAAAAAAATATTTATTAAAATCATTGGCATATGCCGCCCGCCGCTTGGAGACATCCTTGGGAAATGCAGCTGAGAGGATCCCTCCTTGTCCTGCCGGCCTCCCCGCAGCCGAAAAACCATACTGGGGTCCCGCTTCAGAGCCGGCTCCTGCCAGCCACCGTCTGCCCAAATCCCCTCCCGGGCCCAGGGGCGCACGAATAGCCCTGCCCAAGGCCGACCAACTCCACTCCGCCGTCCTCCGCCCCGGTGGGCTCAGCTCCGGCCGGAGAGACGCTCTTGCGAGCTGGGCTCCCCTTCTCCCTCCCCTCGGAACCTTTCTGGCTTCGGGTAGCAGAGGGATGATCCTTGAGCGGGACAAACGTCCCCCCCTCTSCCCAAAGCGCAGGCCGTGTGGCAGCAGGGACAGCCCCAGTCCCTCGGGCAGTAATGCCTCTCCTCCGGCAGAGCCAGGGATGGGACCGCGGTGGCCGTGGCAGTGTGTAAGCTCCCCCCCTTCCCTGTCCTACCCAGGCTGGCCTTGAACTTGACCCTGGCCTTGGCGCATCCAGCCCGCTGCCCCTCTCCACCCGCCTCCCTCGTGCCCTGACCCCGGCACGGCCCTGCCACGCTTAAGGGAGAGCGGTAATTCAYCGGGTTCAGGGGTTGGGGTTATTTTAGAGGGGAGGGCAACCAAGATCCGCCTCACAGCCATGTGCGCGGGTTGCCCGGGCTCAGGCACCACTGGCCCCGAAGTCGTCCTCTATACCTCGCCACCTTCACCCCCAAACTCCTCCCTCCCCCCACCGTTGTCTCCCACACTGACGCTGAGTTTGCCAAACCTCTCTGCCCTAGACCTGAAGACAATCTGGGAACCAATCTGGAGGGAGGCCTGGGGCTTCCCCGGCAGTCCCGATTCTCCCCAGGCACCCCACGATCCCCTCATGCTCAGCCACAGCGGGCGGGTGCCCCGGCCGGTGGCCCGCACACCCCGACGGCTCTGCCCCGACGGTTCCCGGATCGCTCGGCCCCACGGCCCCCGGGTAGCAGCCGGAGGCACGGCTGCTGGCACCCCGTGCCCAGCTGTGTCAAGCCCCACTTGCCCGGGTCTCCTGCGGCGGTGTGATTCTTCCTTTATACCGTGAAAAGCAGCGTGGAGCGGTGGGTTTAATTTTTATTGTTATTATTAATAATATTCTCTCCTAACTCTTCCTGGGACCCCCTGAAAAGACGAATTGATTTCCCTGGGAATTACTCTCTCGTCATGTGCTGCTCTCAAGCCAAAAAATTTGAGGAGGGTCCGTCCATAAAACAGTCTGTGCTTTGCCCCCGCACCCGCAATTGGAGGGCAGCTCAGGGCTCTGCCTTCACCTGCCCCCGCTCTGCTTCACCTGGTTTGGCTGCTCTGGCGGCTTTGGGTTGCAGCCGGCGGTGGCAGAAAAATCCCGAACCCAAACCCAAAAGGTAAACCAACGTCCCAACAAACAAATAAACAAACAGACGTGACAACAGCCCAGACCGAAACAGAGTTAAATACAGGAGCTCTCGCCCGAACCCGAGCGCGGAGCGGCTGCTGAGCCTGGCGGTGCCGCTGAGGCTGCCGGTGCCGGCGGGGCTCCGCAGCGGGCAAAGGGCTGCCCCTGCACGGCCAAGCCCCGCCGCCGGTGCCGGGGGGCAGCAGCCCGGGCTGCCGCCGCTCCGTTTGGCTTTGGCCAGACCTCCCCAAACCCGTATCAGCCTTTTAAGTTTCCCCTTTGTTTTCAGAAACTCGTACACGTTTCCTGCCAGCTATGAAGGCATAGCAGGCTCCCCCAAACCTCTCCCCAGCCACGAGTGCACGGTAGACGTGCTCCCAGGCACAGTGAGGTATGTATATTTATCAATTTTTCGGCTTTACGCATGGTTGTGAGGGTTTTTTTCTGTTGATGTTTTTTAATTTCGAGAGTCCCTTTTTTTTTT